GGTGGTTGAGTGAGTGAGTGGGTGGTGGTTGGGGTGAAGTGAGTGAGTGGTGGTGGGTTGAGTGTGTGAGTGAGTGGTGGTTGAGTGAGTGAGTGGTGTGGTGGTTGAGTGAGTGAGTGAGTGGTGTGGTGGTTGAGTGTGTGAGTGGCGTGGTGGTTGAGTGAGTGAGTGGTGTGGTGGTTGAGTGAGTGAGTGGCGTGGTGGTTGAGTGAGTGAGTGAGTGGTGTGGTGGTTGAGTGAGTGAGGGGCGTGGTGGTTGAGTGAGTGAGTGAGTGGGGTGATGGTTGAGTGAGTGAGTGGTGTGGTGGTTGAGTGAGTGGTGGTTGAGTGAGTGAGTGGTGTGGTGGTTGAGTGAGTGGTGTGGTGGTTTAGTGAGTGAGTGGTGTGGTGGTTGAGTGAGTGGCGTGGTGGTTGAGTGAGTGAGTGGCGTGGTGGTTGAGTGAGAGTGAGTGGTGTGGTGGTTGAGTGAGTGAGTGAGTGGTGTGGTGGTTGAGTGAGTGAGTGGCTGGTGGATGAGGTGAGTGAGTGGTGGTGTGGTGGTTGAGTGAGTGAGTGGTATGGTGGTTGAGTGAGTGAGTGGTGTGGTGGTTGAGTGAGTGAGTGGCGTGGTGGTTGAGTGAGTGGTGTGGTGGTTGAGTGAGTGAGTGGTGGTTGAGTGTGTGAGTGGCGTGGTGGTTGAGTGAGTGGCGTGATGGTTGAGTGAGTGAGTGAGTGGGGTGGTGGTTGAGTGAGTGCGTGGTGGTTGAGTGAGTGAGTGGTGGTTGAGTGTGTGAGTGGCGTGGTGGTTGAGTGAGTGGCGTGGTGGTTGAGTGAGTGAGTGGGGTGGTGGTTGAGTGAGTGAGTGAGTGGGGTGATGGTTGAGTGAGTGAGTGGTGTGGTGGTTGAGTGAGTGAGTGGTGGTTGAGTGAGTGAGTGGTGTGGTGGTTGAGTGAGTGGTGTGGTGGTTTAGTGAGTGAGTGGTGTGGTGGTTGAGTGAGTGGCGTGGTGGTTGAGTGAGTGAGTGGCGTGGTGGTTGAGTGAGTGAGTGGTGTGGTGGTTGAGTGAGTGAGTGGCGTGGTGGTTGAGTGATTGAGTGAGTGGTGTGGTGGTTGAGTGAGTGAGGGGCGTGGTGGTTGAGTGAGTGAGTGAGTGAGTGGGGTGATGGTTGAGTGAGTGAGTGGTGTGGTGGTTGAGTGAGTGAGTGGTGGTTGAGTGAGTGAGTGGCGTGGTGGTTGAGTGAGTGGGGTGGTGGTTGAGTGAGTGAGTGGTGTGGTGGTTGAGTGAGTGAGTGGTGTGGTGGTTGAGTGAGTGAGTGAGTGGTGTGGTGGTTGAGTGAGTGGGGTGGTGGTTGAGTGAGTGAGTGGCGTGGTGGTTGAGTGAGTGAGTGGCGTGGTGGTTGAGTGAGTGAGTGGTGGTTGAGTGAGTGAGTGGTGTGGTGGTTGAGTGAGTGAGTGGTGTGGTGGTTGAGTGAGTGAGTGGGGTGGTGGTTGAGTGAGTGAGTGGGGTGGTGGTTGAGTGAGTGAGTGAGTGGTGTGGTGGTTGAGTGAGTGAGTGGTGTGGTGGTTGAGTGAGTGAGTGAGTGGTGTGGTGTTGAGTGAGTGAGTGGCGTGGTGTGAGTGAGTGGCGTGGTGGATGAGTGAGTGAGTGGTGTGGTGGTTGAGTGAGTGAGTGAGTGGTGTGGTGGTTGAGTGAGTGAGTGGTGTGGTGGTTGAGTGAGTGAGTGAGTGGTGTGGTGGTTGAGTGTGTGAGTGGCGTGGTGGTTGAGTGAGTGAGTGGTGTGGTGGTTGAGTGAGTGAGTGGCGTGGTGGTTGAGTGAGTGAATGAGTGGTGTGGTGGTTGAGTGAGTGAGGGGCGTGGTGGTTGAGTGAGTGAATGAGTGGTGTGGTGGTTGAGTGAGTGAGGGGCGTGGTGGTTGAGTGAGTGAGTGAGTGGGGTGATGGTTGAGTGAGTGAGTGGTGTGGTGGTTGAGTGAGTGAGTGGTGGTTGAGTGAGTGAGTGGTGTGGTGGTTGAGTGAGTGGCGTGGTGGTTGAGTGAGTGAGTGGCGTGGTGGTTGAGTGAGTGAGTGGTGTGGTGGTTGAGTGAGTGAGTGGTGTGGTGGTTGAGTGAGTGAGTGGCGTGGTGGATGAGTGAGTGAGTGGTGTGGTGGTTGAGTGAGTGAGTGGTATGGTGGTTGAGTGAGTGAGTGGTGTGGTGGTTGAGTGAGTGAGTGGCGTGGTGGTTGAGTGAGTGGCGTGGTGGTTGAGTGAGTGAGTGGTGGTTGAGTGTGTGAGTGGCGTGGTGGTTGAGTGAGTGGCGTGATGGTTGAGTGAGTGAGTGGGGTGGTGGTTGAGTGAGTGGCGTGGTGGTTGAGTGAGTGAGTGGTGGTTGAGTGTGTGAGTGGCGTGGTGGTTGAGTGAGTGGCGTGGTGGTTGAGTGAGTGAGTGGGGTGGTGGTTGAGTGAGTGGTGTGGTATGTGAGTGGCGTGGTGGTTGAGTGAGTGAGTGGCGTGGTGGTTGAGTGAGTGAGTGGTGGTTGAGTGAGTGGTGTGGTGGTTGAGTGAGTGGTGTGGTGGTTGATTGAGTGAGTGAGTGGCGTGGTGGTTGAGTGAGTGGCGTGGTGGTTGAGTGAGTGAGTGGCGTGGTGGTTGAGTGAGTGGTGTGGTGGTTGAGTGAGTGAGTCGTGTGGTGGTTGAGTGAGTGAGTGGCGTGGTGGTTGAGTGTGTGAGTGAGTGGTGGTTGGTGTGTGAGTGGCGTGGTGGTTGAGTGAGTGAGTAGCGTGGTGGTTGAGTGAGTGAGTGGTGTGTGAGTGGCGTGGTGGTTGAGTAGTGTGGTGTGTGTGTGAGTGGTGTGGTGCTTGAGTGAGTGAGTGGTGGTTGGTGTGTGAGTGGCGTGGTGGTTGAACGCGGCGGTGGATGAAGAGGCGCAACATTCTGCTAGACCGAGTCCTCAACACAGGAGGAGGAATCAACAAGGCTGGAGGGCATGGACACAAACACGCACAGATCCACACGGACACGCACAGACGTCACCCCGCACCCCCACAGATAGCGAGACGCACACGGACACACCCTCGGGTGCATACCTGCTTCGCGAGACGGAGACAAACATCTCCCCTTTACTCTTTTGAAACTTTTTGGCCCCACGGAGTTAGCGAGCGCCTATTAAGGCCATGGCGCAAGGGGACGGTGGGTGACGGCGCATCCGTGCCGCACCGCACCAGGAACGCGTGTTTCAGTCCGATTCACATCTGTCATCGTCAGCGTTGAGCGGCACGGGCAGGCATCGAGCCGAGGTGACCGCGAGCGAGCGGACGCAAAGACAGCGCTCCCACGTGCGTCCTCCGACAGGGTGTTGGCGCTAGTGATGTTAGCGAGCACCTATTAAGTCCAGCACGGCGGTGGGGTGGCCCTGCCCGATCAACTTTGTCTCCGGAGTACTGATGCTGTTTACTCACGGTGGTATGTTCTCATTTAAGGCTGAGTTGACCTAGGGTATGGTCACACGAACATTTAAATAGGCAGGGGTACACACACACACAGTGCGCACCACTCAAACACGCACGTCACCACAGTACACAGATTCACACAGGGACAGACAGACAGAAACATTCATACACACACACATTCACATAGCCACCCACGCACATTCACAGACACACACAAAGATCCCTCGTGTAACCTTTAACAGATTGTTGGAGCAAGTGCTGTTAGCGAGCACCTATGAAGGCCGGCACGGCACACGAGGGGGTGGGTGGCCAGCACCACGCCCGGCCGCCTTTGTCTCCCCAGTGGCGATGTTTACACACCGCACAAGATACGGCGTGAGCGGGAATCGAACTCGGGTCGCCAAGTCCGTAGCGCAGGGCGCTAACCGCTACCCTTCCATCACAACAACAACCGCTATTCACCACTAAGTGGCGGCGACGTGACCACGGCACTTGTGCCAGGCTAGGTGCACGTTGAGGCCACGTGAAGTGTCGAACAACCCCCTGGCAGGTCACGGGGCAGACCCAGCAGGTGCCACGGGGCAGACCCAGCAGGTGCCACGGGTCGACTGACTGAGATGACCGAGATGAGTGGCCGATGCACCACCTGTGCCCCCTACTCTGCCAACTCGCTGTGCTTTAGCCACCCGGCGCTCCGCTCGTTGTTGTGAGCGTCGCTCCTCCGCCCTCCGTTGTTGCTGGAGGGCGACTGCCTCCAACTGCCCAGTAGCGTCCTTCACGAGCCTCCTCCATTGAGGCCGACCTTGACACCGCTGGTGCCAGTCATCGGCAAGTCCACTCAGCTCCACTTCCTCCTGTACCACATCACTCCATCTCTTCTCTAGCCCGTGCTGCGCCCGTTTAGCCCCCTCCATCCGGCCGAACAAAAGCTGTCTAGGCATGCGGTGGCTGGGCATGCGGGCTACATGACCCAGCCAACGCAGCCTTGCCTGCCGGAGGAGCTCACGGATGGGAGTTTGTCCAGATCTTTGCAGTGCAGACACAAAGATCACCCGTATAGCCTTAACAGACTGTAGGGGCAAGTGCTGTTAGCGAGCACCTATGAAGGCCGGAACGGCACACGAGGGGGTGGGTGGCCAGAACCACGCCCGACCGCCTTTGTCTCCCCAGTGGCGATGTTTACACACCGCACCGGGTACTCATTTGAGGCTGAGTCGACCTAGGGGAGGTCCAGCACCGGTTCAGATAATCGTCACCGGTGTTGGCCGTGAGTGGGAATCGAACTCGGGTGGCCGGGGTTCATAGCGCAGCGTAGCGCTAACCGCTACACCACCGCTCGCCACACACACAGACAGACACACACACAGACAGACACACACACAGACAGACACACACACACAGACAGACACACACAGAAACACACACACAGAAACACACACAGAGAGACACACACAGACACAGACACACACACAGACACACACACAGAGACACACACAGACACCCACACACAGACACACACACACAGACACACACACAGACACACACACACAGAGACACACACACAGAGACACACACACGCACAGGGCACTGTGGTCACCTGCTGTCTGGTCTCGCGTGGACATCGCTGCCGCCACCACCACGGTCACCGCCATCGTCGTCTCGAGCAGCAGCAGCAGCAGGAGGAGCGGTGGTGGCGGCGTAGACCCCAAGCGGCCCCACGCGCGCGTCATCGCCTCGTCTCACGCACTCATCATCATCGTCTCACGCACTCATCATCATCGTCTCACGCACTCATCATCATCATCGCCTCGTCTCACGCACTCATCATCATCGCCTCGTCTCACGCACTCATCATCATTGCCTCGTCTCACGCACTCATCATCATCATCTCACGCACTCATCATCATCATCATCGTCTCACGCACTCATCATCATCATCTCACTCATCATCATCATCGTCTCACGCACTCATCATCATCGCCTCGTCCCAATCCTGCATCTCAAACCCCCCCGGCCGTCTCGTCGCATCCCGGGGGGGGGCGGAAAAGTTTCTTGGCCCCGTCCCACCCAGCCACTCACCCAGCCACTCACTCACTCACCCAGCCACTCACCCGCCCAGACACTCACTCACCCAGCCACTCACCCGCCCAGACACTCACCCAGCCACTCACTCACTCACCCAGCCACTCACCCAGCCACTCACCCAGCCACTCACTCACCCAGCCACTCACCCAGCCAGCCACTCACTCACCCAGCCACTCACCCAGCCACTCACTCACTCACTCACCCAGCCACTCACCCAGCCACTCACCCACCCAGCCACTCACCCGCCCAGACACTCACCCAGCCACTCACTCACTGACCCAGACACTTACCCACCCAGCCACTCACCCAACCAGCCACTCACCCACTCACCCAGCCACTCACTCACACCCAGTCACTTACTCACCCAGCCACTCACTCACTCACACTGCCACTCACCCACCCAGCCACTCACCCACCCAGCCACTCACTCACCCAGCCACTCACTCACCCAGCCACTCACCCACCCAGCCAGCCACTCACTCACCCAGCCAGCCACTCATTCACTCAGCCACTCATTCACTCACTCACCCACCCAGCCACTCACTCACTCACCCAGCCACTCACTCACCCAGCCACTCACCCACCCAGCCAGCCACTCACTCACCCAGCCAGCCACTCATTCACTCAGCCACTCATTCACTCACTCACCCACCCAGCCACTCACTCACCCAGCCACTCACTCACTCACCCAGCCACTCACCCACCCAACCAGCCACTCACCCACTCACCCAGCCACTCACCCACCCAGCCACTCACTCACCCAGCCACTCACCCACTCAGCCAGCCACTCACTCACCCAGCCAGCCACTCACTCACCCAGCCATTCACTCACCCACCCAGCCAGCCACTCACTCACCCGCCCGTCACCCTGGACCACTACTCTCACGCGCAGCCTCCCGCTCCGTCTCGCTCCACTCAATGAGTCGATCCTCAACTCACGCGGCCGTTTCCGCAAACAAAGGCGATGGCCGGGGGAGGAGCCCACGTGCGGCGGGCGGGTGGGGCGTGGCCTCGTGGCAGTAGGCGTGGCAGTGGGCGTGGCCTCGTCACAGTAGGCGTGGCTTCGTGGCAGTAGGCGTGTTAGTAGGCGTGGCCTCGTCACAGTAGGCGTGGCCTCGTGGCAGTAGGCGTGGTAGTGGGCGTGGCCTCGTCACAGCAGGCGTGGCCTCGTAATAGTGGGCGTGGCCTCGTCACAGTGGGCGTGGCCTCGTGACAGTGGGCGTGGTCTCGTCACAGGGGCGTGGCCTCGTCACAGTGGGCGTGGCCTCGTGATAGTGGGCGTGGCCTTGTGGCAGTGGGCGTGGCTTCGTCACAGTAGGCGTGGCCTCGTGTTTGTGGGCGTGACCTCGTGGCAGTGGGCGTGGCCTCGTGCATCTTCAAGCGCCGATCGCTCCGGGGGGGAGGGGGGGTTGGGGTGGTTGGGGGGGAGGGGGGGTGGGGGGGTTGGGGGGTTGGGGGGTTGGGGGGGTTGGGGGGTTGGGGGGGAGGGGGGGTTGGGGGGGGTTGGGGGGGAGGGGGGGTTGGGGGGGGTTGGGGGGGGAGGGGGGGTTGGGGGGGGGTTGGGGGGGTTGGGGGGGAGGGGGGGTTGGGGGGGTTGGGGGGGAGGGGGGGTTGGGGGGGTTGGGGGGGGTTGGGGGGTTAGGGGGAGGGGGGTTGGGGGGAGGGGGGGTTGGGGGGGTTGGGGGGGAGGGGGGGTTGGGGGGGTTGGGGGGGAGGGGGGGTTGGGGGGGGTTGGGGGGGAGGGGGGGTTGGGGGGGTTGGAGGGGGTTGGGGGGTTGGGGGGGAGGGGGGGTTGGGAGGTTGGGGGGGTTGGGGGGGGTTGGGGGGGTTGGGGGGGTTGGGGGTTTTGACGTTCCTCTGTCGAGGTCGTCGTCCCCCGCGTGGTGCGTGGCGAGGCGACACCCCCTGGCGTCAGACGCCCCACGCCCCCCAGCCTCAACCCGACCGCGTGCCGCTGAGCAGCGGCGGTGACGTCGTCGCGGCGCTTGAGCCAGACGAGGTGCACCTGGAGGCCACGTGACGCTTGAGCCAGACGAGGTGCACCTTGAGGCACGTGACGTGTGAGCCAGACTAGGTGCACCATGAGGCCACGTGACGTGTGAGCCAGACGAGGTGCACCATGAGGCCACGTGATGCTTGAGCCAGACTAGGTGCACCTTGAGGCCACGTGACGTGTGAGCCAGACGAGGTGCACCATGAGGCCACGTGACGTGTGAGCCAGACGAGGTGCACCATGAGGCCACGTGATGCTTGAGCCAGACTAGGTGCACCATGAGGCCACGTGACGTGTGAGCCAGACTAGGTGCACCTTGAGGCCACGTGACGCTCGAGCCAGACGAGGTGCACCTTGAGGCCACGTGACGTGTGAGCCAGAGGAGGTGCACCTGGAGACCACGTGACGTTTGAGCCAGACGAGGTGCACCTTGAGGCCACGTGACGTTTCGAGTTGCCCCTCTGGCAGGAAGGTCGCGGAACAGACCCAAGTGCCGTGGGTTGACTGAGATGACTGAGATGACTGAGATGATTGCGATGATTTAGATGACTGACTGAGATAAATGACTGAGATAACTGAGATGATTGAGATGATTGAGATGATTTAGATGACTGACTGAGATGAATGACTGAGATGACTGATTGAGATGGCTGAGATGACTGAGATGACTGACTGAGATGAATGACTGAGATAACTGACTGAGATAACTGAGATGACTGACTGAGATGGCTGAGATGACTGAGATGACTGATTGAGATGGCTGAGATGACTGAGATGACTGAATGAGATGACTGATTGAGATGACTGAGATTACTGATTGAGATGGCTGAGATGACTGAGATGACTGACTGAGATGACAGATTGAGATGACTGAGATGACTGATTGAGATGGCTGAGATGACTGAGATGACTGACTGAGATGACTGACTGAGATGACAGATTGAGATGACTGAGATTACTGAGATGACTGAGATGACTGACTGAGATGGCTGAGATGACTGACTGAGATGACTGACTGAGATGACTGACTGAGATGACTGATTGAGATGACTGACTGAGATGACTGACTGAGATGACTGACTGAGATGACTGAGATTACTGAGATGACTGAGATGACTGACTGAGATGACTGACTGAGATGACTGACTGAGATGACTGACTGAGATGACTGAGATTACTGAGATGACTGAGATGACTGACTGAGATGACTGATTGAGATGACTGACTGAGATGGCTGAGATGACTGACTGAGATGACTGACTGAGATGACTGGCCGATGCACCAGCTGTGCCCCCCCCCACCCCCCAACCATTTTGCCAACTCGCTGTGTTTTATCCGCCCGGCGCTCTGCTCGTTGTTGTGAGCCTCGCTCCGTCCTCCATCGCTGCTTCACCTCCGCCGTGTTGACGGGTCCACCCCGTCCCGGGCGACCCGTGGAGCCTCGGGGGAGTCAGGGGAGAGGCCAGACACGAGTTCAGACATCACTCCCCGGCGGCGTTTGGGGCCGTCCATAAATGACGTCACGCGATTTTGGAAGATTTTTGACCCCCCCCCCCCTCTTCGTCACACGGCGTCACAAAAAGTCAGACCCCCCCCTCTCTCAAATATGACGTCACAAAGCTTTGCCCCCCCCCCTCAAAATGAACATGCCTCAAATCGCTTTAAACTATTGTCATTGTAGTGCGTATTTAATGTGGCGCTGCACTCTGATGTTGTAGGAGTAAACGTGTATAAAAAAGTCTATTTAATTAAGTAGAACGTGTTGTCTATATTTATTTAAAGTTGCGCATTTTGATGTGACGTCACATTTCTCACCCCCCCCCCCCTCGTCACACGTCGTCACAAATGTCTGACCCCCCCCCCTAGGTGCGTGACGTCATTTATGGACGGCCCCTTAGCCGTGGCCATAAATGCAACTATTCATGGCGCAGCGCGCTAAACGCGTCTTGTAAACGTGCCCTCGTGAACATCAACACACACATCTGGTCCAACACCAATGGAGACTAGGCTCGAAAAAAAGCTGTCTCGGGTGTGGACCAATCAACTTCAAGGACAGTGCATATCATTATCATCATCAGAGTTGTTTCTTTTTGTTTGAATTTTGACTGCTTGTGTTTGTGGTTATTGCAAACATGATGCCTTGTATAAAGGTGTCAGTTTTGTACCAGTTGAAAGGGTAAAAACGTGCTACTATATTTTGCCATTGGTAAAGGAGGTCTCATAGCATAAATGCCTCCCCCGAGCTCTCAATACTCTGATAGTGCACTGTTTTTGAGTTGTACGCCTTTTGGCGTCATCTAGTCCAACACCAATGGAGACTAGGCTCTAAGAAAAGCTGTCTCGGGTGTGGACCAATCAACTTCAAGGAAAGTGCATATCATTATCATCATCAGAGTTGTTTCTTTTTGTTTGCATTTCGACTGTTAGTGTTGTGATTATAGCAAACATGATCCTGATCCCTTGTATAAAGGTGTCAGTTTTGTACCAGTTGAAAGGGTAAAGACCTACTACTATATTTTGCCACTGGTAAAGGAGGTCTCATAGCACCAACACACACACGCGGCGTGTAGCCGGCTTGTCCGCAAGGAGAGGCTGCTCCCTATCACAGCTGCTCCCCCATCCACCGCTCTCATCAGTTTCAGTTTCATTGATTTGGTGGTACAGCCCCGTGAGCCATTCGGCTCTTGAATCTGGTGCAACCGCAACAAACAAAAGACAAAAACATGGACAAGAAAACATCTTAAAGTGACTATGTGACTGAGCGCAAACAGAAAATACAGGAAAATAGCAAAATATTCCAGAAAAAGCACCGTACACCAACGCTGTGTGCAGAGATCCCAGTGGGATGCAAGTCAAACAACAACAACCACAAGGCAACTTAGATTAAGCCACAAACCACTGCGACAAAGCTGTTCCAAGCCGCTTTCTCCTTACTAGTGAGCTTCTTGGGGAATTCATTGCACTCCAGGATCTTCTTTATCTGTGGTCCGATGAAGACACCGGCTTTGACCTTCGCCTCAGACAGCTTAGGGAAGAAGTCTTGAAGTTACTTGAAGGCTGCCGACTCCTTATCTACAGCTCTGACAAATTACATTTTTGACTTTAAACTTTCGTGACTGCAGGAATTCATATTCTTGGTTCTTTCGGTAAAGTGAC